TGCCGTCCCCTCGCATTTAATTGCCTAAGGGATAGATGTGACAATACAAGGATACTCTTAAGCTATGGCCTGCTGAAATGCTCCCCCCCCCGGCAGCAAAGGGCAACGAAATACTTCGTTAAGTCTGGTATTCTAGAAGTTCTGTGCTACCTAACTGAGGAGGGTGTGTATTTTTGAAAATCAAATGAAAGTCTCTAACTCCTCTCTTAGAATTAGCCATCTTCGAGCACGACTATTCAAAATATCTATAAAAGATGTAGTTGAACACAAACGAAGCGGTCTACTATGTGGAGTTATTCGTTCTAATCCAAGAAAATTTGGGAAACTCTGGGCCTGTGAGGATATCAGAGCGACCTTCGCCTTGTTTAGCTGACGGGTGCACTGGAGAGTGGTGGAATGGCATGAAGACATCGAACTGTCTATTAAACATGATTCGGTCGCTTCAGACTATCGCGAGGCCAGAGACCCGTTGGAATTCGCCTATCTGTTCGCCTCTCCACAGCACTGAGGCTACGTACTCATATCATTCACATTTTGCTCGCCTATAAACTCTGCTCTGCAGAAAGCAGCACTTAACGCCTGAGTATCAGTGCGAGCTCACACAAGTGGACTACGTGAAGGGCGTCTCTCCTTTAGTACCTAACTCAATCTCAACATCAGTCATACTGTATCACTTCACTGTCGCTGTCACTGCGAAGTACTTTCTAGTACCCTCGTTGAAGAAAACCAGGTTGTGAAACCTAGCCACGACTGAGTTTGCTCTAAACGCCACAGTTGATGGCGAGATGGATGAATTAGTTAACGAATCAATTTACCTAAACAGCAAACAGTGCTCCTCTAGACAATGCCAACCAGAAGTGCTACGCATGATCAGTTAAGCTACATCGGTCATGGAATTATGGACGCATATCTGGTAGCAATCATAACATCATAAAAGCCGAACATCTTTTATTACAGACGTCGGAATACCCGTCCCACTTTATGGTGGTGAAACTGGACTTTGCTTACAACGTTTCCCCAAAATACCAGCCACAGCTGAGAATCAGACATCAGATTGCCTTATGACAACAGAAGTGAGGAGACGAAGATCCTACCTCGAGATCACTACTAGAACGACAGCGCACTTCGAAGGGGCGCAACATCCGTCAAACGATACATCGACTGATGGATAGTGTTAAAACTATCCATAAGCGTGGAATTGAGCCCTCATTCATGCGGAATTGAGCCCTCATTCATTTGGAAACAATCCCGAAGTCATCTGAGAAAAATCTGGTAGCCGCAGCTGCTCGCACAGTCGTTTGTAGCATTCAACCGTCTACATATTTGGTGTCTACATGAAACTTCTCTGTCCATGTTATGAATTCGATTGCATTTCTTATAAAGCATTTAGTGAGGTAGATACGTTTTGCATACGTAGAACATACTTATTCACTTACTCAATGAATATATGGGAAATTAATACTTCAAAACCTTTGTCTTCGAGCGAATGGTGTGATCTCTCAGATGGGAGGGTCAGAAATGAATCTTCTTCGGAGGATTACTTCACAATTTTGAAACACGGCTATTCAACGTGTCCTACATTCTGAACAATTTCATCGTTAGCTCGAGAAATTAAAACTGCAATGGTTTGGGAAAAGAGGAGATATTCTTGTAGCAGGGCATAGAAGCTTTGCCAAAAGATATGTTCCAATAGGAGCCGTTGCCACAATAAACAATGGCAGATTGGACCCGGATGATGGATGGCGGAGCTCTATTATGAAACTTACCATCATAACTCCAAATGATGAACGACATCGCCTAATCATGACAGTTATCACGACTCCATGATCGATGTCGTGGACCGGCTATGTCAGGACAC